ATATGTATATGTGTGTATATATATATATATATATATATACACACACACACACACACACACGCATGCACGCACACACACACATTATATGTGCTGTATTACAGTTTATGTGCTTGGAATGAAATTGATATTTCCAGGTTGGAAAACTCTTGACGTGCCAAACATTTCTACACACAAGTGGATTGTCATGTTATCTGACCACCAACTACATTTCTACTTGACAACCGTCTCATTTAAATAAGAGTTTTTAATTTTCACTTTTTAAAAAAAAAATTGCACATTCTTCCCACTTTCTGTAGATTTCTTCCGATTTTTCCCAAAATCCAACCACATTTTAAACAGCAGGCATTACTTGACTGACTTCAGTTACTTTCTCCATCATTTTAGTCTCCAAGACTCTTTAATGTGCCTCCGTTTTGTGACGACATGTTTTTATTAGTTGCTCATACAGAAGAACAGGCACTACAGTTTGGAAATGACAGCACTCAGCTAAAAAAAGACAGAGAAGCCCTCAAAACATTTTCACCGACGCCGCAGCACGAACAAGACAGACAACGGGATTTTAAAGTCGATGTAAACAGTCCCATAGACATTACAGTGAAGGTTTTACAAGAATTTGATCTTCGGTCGGGTAATGAAGGAGCTGTGTCGGTGTAAAATGATCCGAATGAGCTGGAGTCAGATTCAGAGCAGGTCCAGGCTGTCTGTGAGGATTCAAATCCTCTGAAGTGACTCAGAATCTAACAGAAGCAACACAGAGCCACGTTTTTCTCCCACATTCTGTAAAAAAATCATTTTGCACCTGCAGCAGAAAAGTCGAATATCTCATCAATATTTCAAAGGCGGACCCTCTTTCCGCTGCAGATGTTTCCTCTGTCTGCATCAACAACATCTGGCTGCCTCTCTGACAGCACAGGGCTCGACAGTCTCTCATCTTAGATTTTCTGATTGAAGCCAAAATATTTAAACAGGAGAATATAAATATATAGATTCCGACCTGCATTTTAGTGCATGGAGAAATAGCCAATCATCACCTGGAAGATTTAATTAAACTGACATTTAGTCAATGTTTAGGGAAGAAATCAAGGCCGTGCGCCAGATCAGTTCAGTAAACAGTGAGTGGGAGCAGCAACGTGCACAGAGTCACGCAGAGGAAGCTCATCAACTGCACATCCAAGTCAATTAAAACAGGTTGGGCCATTAATAAAAACAGTTCTGAGTTGATGCTTTTAGGCAGTTTGTGCTCATGATGCATTTCCAACACATACATAGCAAAATGAAAACAGGAAGTGACAGGTATAGCAGGCACACCGTAGCAGACGGGTAAGACAACCAAGGTTAATGTAAACGATCCTCCTCACAGCCTTTCGTTGAGTAAATATTCCATTTCAAAGACGAGCCCCGCTGAGAGCAACCATGATGACGGACAGTCTTTCATCTTGTTTTAAGATGCTAATTCAGCGACAGACTGTGGAACGGGGCAGAGGAGTAAAGAGAAAGTGTGTGTTTTTATTTAAATGTTCTTTCAGAGTGAGATGAGAAGATTAAAACAAATGTGAACAAACAGACGTGGCTTTTGGAGCAGTCATGCTCTCCAGGATTCAACCTGCATCTTCTCTTACACCAACATGTTTTATAATATGACACCATGTTTCTTTGTTTCCCCTCTATGTTGCCATTATGTCTTTTTGGAACCAGAGTTTGCACAGAAAATGTGGGTACACACTCAATGTAAACTAAATGTTTGCCTACTGAAAACCACGTAAAAGCTTAGGACAAGCCTACAGTCTCTGAGAAGATGTTCTGGTGGGACTATAAGAGAATCTGCTGCTCAACATAAAAGGAAACGGTAAGAAAGAGAAAGAAAACTGTCAAGACTAAATATGGAGGATTCAGCAGGACGGTGGAGAGCCACAATGTTCAGGAGCTCAACATTCAAACAGCTTTTGCGAAACTCCTGCTTGATCAGGTTTTCAACACATCTCTTTATCTGCAATGAGTACCTTTAGTCCCGCCCACTCCCCCAAACATAATCCAGGTGTTACGTGACCTTAAACATACTGCAGCAAGGTAAGAACTACCCCACTCACCAAGTATCAACATAAAAATGTATCTGAGCATAATTTATTTATCAATAAATTGGTATATGAAGGAGGCAGGCCTTAGAACATTTTCTGGGAGCATTCTTTGGAGATGCTGTTCCCCTTACAGCTTCAACTTCAGGGATCCTGTTTGGTGTCCAGTATTATAAAACATGTTGATGGCTTGCACATCTTATAATAATCCCTGTGGGTTTGACTTTGACAAACAGATGCTTCATCCAATCGCATGCTTTCTTTTAAAGTGTCCCGTTTCTAATGAAACAAACAAAATACATATATTGATCTCAAAATAATTTGTCACTGCAGATTTTTGGTGACAGCTGATCTCTTGTGCTGTCATTCTCTGAAGGAAGGGCCACAAGTTGTTTTTCATACGGAGTCTCACTGGCTGTTTTTGTTGAGCTTAGCTAACCACCTGCAAGCTGTAGCTCTGTGCAGCCGTGCAGCTGTGAAATCGAACTCACAAGATGGAAAATAAAAGCAGATGCAAAAATTCCAAATGCCTCCTCTGAGGCTAAACATGTACTAAAGAAGAAAACACAGTATTCAAGGAGCAAACAAACTGTACAAGCATCCAGACAGTAAAAAAATAAAAATAAAATACATGAAATGTGCAGCTCATTCTTGCAACTTATGATGCCATGTCAGTGTTCTGCTGAGAGAAAATGTCCTGTTAGCATCACAACTGATAACAAGCACAGCTACAAGTTCAGTTGCAGTTTCTGCAGATGATGTGATCCTAAGTGGTCTTCTTCGTGGTGAAGGTGAAGACAGCTCACTGTGGCCCGACAGGAGGAGGAAGATTTGCTTTGAAGTCTCTGGCAATGTGCATGTATGAGCGGACGGTTCAGTCTGTGTTTTAGCAAAACTCAGCTGGAACTCCTAGATCGGCTCCACGTAATTGGCCGGGTAAAGACCCAGCTGGCCATTGTCTAGGCGACCTTTACACCAGCCCTGATCGTCTTCATCTTCCAGCTTCGTCAGCAAATCACCTTGATTGACAAATGGGGAAATAAACATTCAGAAGTGGGTGAAGAATCTAAAAACGTTTGAAAAGAATCATACAGCTGCCAACAAGAACATTAAGGGAGCCATCAAATGTTTTGCACGTTTTCTGAAAGTTGTTCAATCTTCATATTTGTTGTAGAAATTTGGGCCAACTTAAAGTCAAAACGTTAAAGTTTGTAAGCAACAAAGACTAAGACCCCAGAACAAACAAACTGTACCTTTGTGCTAATGCACGGTAAATCTCACTTTGGGCAGTCTGGACAAGCTGCCATATTGGAGCTGTAATAGTTGTGAAGAACACATGTTGATGTTCATGAATGTTATTTTTGATAAATTAACAGGTCTCTCTTGCAAATGAGATAATTGTGTCTCTACATGACTAACTTGTATAAATAAAGGAAATTAAATTAAATGGGACAGCGCTACAGGCACGACTTCAAATCTTATCATATCAGTTTTTATAGAATTTGGGCAAACAAGGACAAATCCAACAGAATTTCATCCACAGTCGTGTTTTTCCAAACCATTTATTTGTCTTAAAACTATTTTAATTGTTTTATATTATTAGTAAATGGCAGTTTCACAATCTGTTTGCCTATTGAGTCTTAACACACTTTATAATTGGATTCAAACCTACCATAGAAAATATTTGAATTTCTGAACTAACTAAGCCTGTCACAATAAACAATAAATCAATCAATCAAATCAATTAATTGCATGATAAATGAAAATTATCAAACTTATTTATCATTTCTTCGCGTCTCTCTCTTTCTACTGAAGACACTGATGACAAAAAGATCAACTCTGGTGCTCTTCACTGAATCCTCCCTTTCTCTTTAAAATCTGTTTTAACCATCCAAAATTGCATTTTTGGATCGTTAAAAGCAAACGTTAAAAGCTAAGCTCATAGCTTAGCTTCTCAGCTTAGCTATGAGCTAAGCTAACAGGCCAACCTCGAGGAAAAAACCTCAGTCTTGTCAAAACTCCAAAATTCACGGTTGAAACCCGTGCCTTCATATAAAAAGTTGTTTTTCTCTGCAAAAAGAAGCTGTGAACTTGTTTACTGATTTTTTATTAAAAGCTTTGTGTGAAAAATGTTATGCTAAAGAGCTTAAAACACACTGAGGTTCCTCCATTTTGAGAACCAAAAAACAGGAGAGATAGCTCATGTCACGTCAAGGGGCCTCCTCCCATTTTTCTTAAAGAGACACGCTGCTCTCCCTCACTATCCATCCTTCGCTTCAAACAATCTTGTACTACCATCCAGTGGTCAAAAAAAGGTACTACACAGAAAAATTAACCAACATTTCTTCATAAGTTTAACAATTACTAATTAATGTCAAATTTCAAACAATATTATCGTTTATTGCAATAATTTCTGAGACAATTAATCGCCCAGCAAAATTAGTTGTCGTGACAGGCCTAGAACTAACTTGCAATCTTGGAAAAGAAGGGTAACATAGTTAAATTATTTTATTCCATTATACTATGTGTTTGATAACAGTTGTTACAACATATATTAATTACCCAGACAAAGGGTGACAAACATCTGATTAGTGAGGGAGGAAGATCTAACAGCTCATAATGAGACTAAGCTGTATAAATAAAGGTTGAATGAATGAATGAATGTCTGGACAAATATGTGTATTTAGGTAATTTATGCAAAACTGCATTGGTTGAAATTGTTTTTAAAAACAACCCAACATATTATCTGACTGGTTGACAAAAGTCTTTCATGTGACATCACATAACCCAGGTGGATTTACTCACCTGCTCTGAAGCTGAGTTCGTCCTGCTCTTGGCCTTCATAGTCATACAACGCTTTGACTCTCACACCTTCACCTTCGCCTTCATAAAAAGGGTTGGGCCCTCCGTTTGTGTCACTGCCTGAGTTTGAGCCCTTCTGTTCGTCGTCCGACCACTCTGAGGAGGCCGTGTACGCCTGGTTCTTCTCATAACTGCTCACACTGAACACAACATTAAACGCATTAACCATCCATCTTTCAGCACATTGCTTCATTTCTTTCAAACATTTTAAAGTGTTAAGTCTTTTCATTGTGCAGTTCTGCTGAAATGTGATAACTGAAGTAGCAGTTTTACAATTTTAACAGATACCACTTACTCATGTCTTGTTGAAGTTGTGTTAAAAATGATTAGTAATGAAGAAAAACCCAGGATTTTGCACAAAAACTGCAGAAGCCCAGAACAATACAAGAGCATTCTGGAAATTATCTGCATATAAGATAACTGTAAACATTGATTTGAACAGACAGTACCTCCCCCTGTCTCCAGACTGAGCGTTGACCCCCGGTGCCTTAACGTTAGTCAGCATAACTTCATCACTTAATTTCTTTGACTTCTCCTTCTTGGAGATGTTATGGCTAAGGTCTGGGTTGTACTCCTGGAAAATAAATACATAAATTAATAAACATTACAGCATAGGCACCACTTTACAATAAATGACTAATAAATATTTTCCAACAAAGTTTTAATAATTACTTATTATAGTAAAATTATGTTGCTGCTTATAATTTTAATATTGTGTTTTAAGTATGTAAGAAAAGCAAACAAGTAGAGTTTATTTATATATTTAGGGGCCCAAGCCATCTGAGGCAGTTTCCATGCATCCAGCAGAGCACAGAACCCTATTGAAACTGTTCTGTTTTTTATTATTATTATTTTTCTTTTTCTTCCTTAAGTAAAAGTCATACGGCAGCCCAAACCACAAGGCATACTGACATGATAATTACACATTGGTGGCTATGACCTGTGAAACCAGCCACTAGGGGGCACAAGCCAGTGTATCTCTTGTGTCTGTCCCAAGCCCGTTTTTTTTTTTTTTTACTTTATTGAACTACTGAACATACAGAACAAATGAACAAAAGAACACAAATAGAACAACAAATGACAATCTCAAATTACAATGATACATATAAACATATACAAATATCTACAATCATACCTCCTAAGGTCTACATATTCTTAAACGAATTATCATATCAACCATCATAAACTTAAATTTAGGTAATAATACTATTTGAGAGTTTGCAAATAATATAGTACAGTAAATTAAACAACTAACTATTTAAGAATCTACATAATTACTAAAATAATTTGTCAGAGGGCTATATTATCTGAGCGAGGTGATCAGAGAGCTTTTTTGCTTGTGGTTTTTTTAGCTCTGTCTAATGAAAGTTTTAACAACTGGAGTTCTTGTTTGAATACAGACCATAATGGTTTAGACTTGCCATATCTGCATTTATGTATATAGAATTTTAATATTATGATAATGTTATTGACAAAGTATTCATCTTTTTTATTTTCAGATACATATCCATATAATATATTCTGAACGGAGAAGGAGTCCATGTTCATAGATTTGATGGTCAGGAGATCGTGAAGGGATTTCCATAATGTGTTCACAGAATGACAGAAATAAAATAAATGTTCTGTTGTTTCAGGTTCGTTACATATATAACAGTTATCACATTCAAATTTAAATCTATTTCCGATAAACTCGTTAGAAGGATAAATATTATTTAGAGTTTTGAAATGTAATTCTTTATATTTAGGTGGAAGAGGGAAACCCAGATATGTTGTCATTATTTTTACTCTTTCCTTCTTATCAAAGAAATCGTGAAACTTTCTTCTTACCTGACCAGAATATATTGTTTTTATTAAATGTTGGCTTAAAAAATTGTTGTTGCATTTATTGTGTGTTAAATTTAGTCCATTGAGATTAATGCTCGGTAAACTAATTGTTGGTTTAGTTTCATAATTATTCTTTATTAACTGAACAAATGCAATTGGTATATTTTTTGTTACTTTATCATAGTCTTTTTTGGTACAGATTAGATTATATTTTTTGGGAATTCTTCATAGTCATATAAATTTCCCTTTTCATCCATGAGATGAGTGAGTGACCATATTTGTTTCTCCATCCATGTTTCCATGAACACAGACTTCCTTCTATGTAAAACGACTCTGTTGTTCCAAAAAGGAACATTATGAGGACTGAAGTTGTGTTTGTATGCTAGTTTCCAGTTCAATAACACCTGTTGGTGAAAAGCAGATCATTTAACAGGAAATTTAGGAATGTCAAAGTCACATCTTAACAGGAAGTCAATACCTCCAACTTTACTAAAAACCAAAGTGGGGACAGCAAACCAAAGCTCATGAGCATTTTTAAGAAATGATTGAAGCCATTTAAGTTTTAACACGCCATTCATTATTTCAAAATCTATTGCTTTAATCCCACCATCTTCATAATTTTTAACTGTATCTCCTTTTTTGATATAATGACGTTTATTTCTCCAAATAAAGTTAAAAGTTTAATTTATTAATTTCCTTAATAATCTTTGGAGGTATGGCTATGGAGGTCGCAGGGTAAACCAGTCTTGATAGAGTCTCCATTTTGGTTAGTAATGTCCTACCAGAAAGAGTTAAGTCTCTCTGCAACCAGTTATTTAATATCAATTTGCATTTAGTAATATTATTGTCAACATTCAGTTTGACACAATTGCTTGCAGTTTTTGTGACCCAAATGCCCAGATATCGAACCTCCAGTTTGACCGGTATATTGTAATAAGATGATTGAGAACAATCATGAATACTCATTAAATCACACTTTTCCAAATTTAACTTTAATCCTGATGCTTTAGAGAATGCTTCTACTGTTTGGATAGCCAGTGGAATCTGATCTTTATTTTTTAGAAACAGAGTTGTATCGTCTGCTAGCTGACTTATAATAATATTCTGATTCATAATTTGTAAACCATGAAGTCTGGAGTTTCTTATAGAGACAGCCAAGAGCTCAGTAACGGTGATAAACAGTAGAGGTGGAACACTGCATCCTTGTCTAATCCCTCTTTTTATTGTAAATCTGGGACTTGTTCCTTCTGCTAAGGAAACACAGCTGTTAACATCTGTATGCAGCATTTTGATTATGTTTAAAAACTTCTCACCAAAGCCAAAATGTTTGAATGTTTCAAAAATGAAAGGATGCTCCACCGAATCAAAAGCTTTCTGAAAATCCAGAAATAAGATCATCCCGTCATCAGGGATTAAGTGGGCATATTCATTTAAATCTAGAACCAGACGAATATTGTTATTAATTGATCTACCTTTGAGAACCAGACTGAGTCGAGCTAATTATATCAGATAAACCTTCTTTTAACCGAGCTGCAAGAACTGTAGTAAATATTTTATAATCTGTGTTGAGAAGTGTGATGGGTCTGAAATTATTCAAGTTTGTTTTATCTTTTCCTGGTTTGGGTATCAATATGATGACACCCTGTTTCATTGTTGTCATCAATTCTTTTTTATGAATACACCCCATAACTGCATCAAACAACAGTATTTTTATGTCCTTCCAGAAGAATTTGTAAAAATTTGCTGTAATACCATCTGATCCAGGAGCTTTATCTGATGCTACTTTTTTAATAACACAGTCAAATTCTTCTATTTGAAAATCCTCTTCACAAATGGACCTAAAAGTCTCATCAATGTTAGGGATCACATTTTTAATTTTTATAAAAAAGGATTCTGAGTCTTGTTTTGAATATGAGGATGTAAACAGATTACTGTAAAAGTCCTTAACTTCTCTGGATATTTGTTTTGTTTCTGTAACTTCCTCATCATTAATTATGAGACTGTTAATTGTATTTTTCATCTGTCTTTGTTTTTCCAAATTACAAAAATATGAAGTATTTTTCTCACCCTCTTCAGCCACCTGGCTCTTGACCGTATGTATGCTCCACGGGCTTTATTTTGATAATATTCATCCAGTTTACATTGTAAATTATTGATATTAATTTTGTCTTCCTCACTCCAGTCAGATTTATGATAATATAAGATTAGTTCCTTGGTTAGTTTAGTTTCTTCCATTTGTCTCTCTTTTTGTAATTTTTTGAAGGAAATAGAAAATCTTCTAACAGTAAATTTGAAGAATTCCCATTTTTGTATTGCTGTCACTCAACTTTTGTCATTTTTTACATCTTGAATTATTTTACTAATACTTTTACAATATTTGTCATTCTTTAATAAGTTAGCATTGAATTTCCAGTAACCTTTGAAATTATTTTTTGTATCATTTTGGGATATTCGCAGGTTTATGGTGCAGCGATCACTTAAAGGGCTACAAGAGATCTTGGCTTCTGTGACGTGTTCAAGTATAGAATCTGTAATTAACCAATAATCAATTCTTGATCTTGATTGCCCGTTAGGTTTAAACCAAGTATACTGTTTAATGTTAGAGTTTTTGTTTCTCCAAACATCAACAAGTTTATTGGTATTCATAAAGTTATCCATGATTGGGTTTAATGTCACCTGAGATTGTTTGGAAGGGCATCTGTCCATCCATTCATCTGGAGTTAAATTAAAATCACCCCCAACAACAACGTGGTCAGTGGGATAATTCAACTGCATTTTTTTTTATAATTGTTGTGACTTGATGTAATAACTGTTTATTTTTTTGGTCGTTGTTGTATCCATAAACATTAAGAATGATGAACAAATTGCTGTCAATATCTAAAACACCTGCTGCCCAGTGTCCAGCATCGTCTATTTCCTGAAAAAGAACCTTTCCTGGACATCTATTGAAACAAATAGCTACTCCTGCAGAACGATTTGTGCCATGACTAAAAATGATCTTGTCACCCCATTGTTGAGTCCAAAACTTCACATCAGTTAACTCCGAGTGCGTCTCTTGAAGAAAAAAACAATTAGCCTTTTGACCTTTGCAAAATAAAAAAAACAGCCTTACGCTTAATAGAGTCTTTGAGCCCTCTTGCATTAAAAGAAGAAAATAGAATCTCAGTCTTTAAATTGAATACTGAACACATTAAGAACAATAACAATAGAAAACAAATAAAAAATAAAAAACTGAGGTTATAGGAGGTAGAGTAAAAAACCCTGAGAGTAGAGTCCCCTTAATAGACCCTTGAAAAACAAAACAATCTCCACTGTAACAAAAAGCTTCAAGTTTCATCTAAACATCTAAACAGTGCTCGAACTTCAGCTAAAAAATCTCTTCCCTTCGATGTAGGCGAAGGCTCCTCTGAATCCTGCAGCCTTACCCTCCTTTCTTGCCTGCTCAATTCTCGGCCACAGCGCTTGTCTTGACTTCAAGTCCTCCTGGGTCAGGTCCTCTACAAACTTCAGACCTTCATCTCTGCAGATCTGTGATGACTTTGTTTTCTTCCACACCTCATCTCTGACACTTCTCTTGGAGAAGAGGATTATAATTTGTCTGTGTCGACCTTCCGTTGATCTTCCCACTCTGTGAACGATGTCAACAGCATCCTCCATCTTTCCAGCCAGATCAGGTAGAATTCTGCTCAGCAACTCCACAACTTCAGCTCTGATGTTTTCATTAACTTTTTCCTTTTTTCCTTTAATCCG